AAACTTAGGTCCAACTTAACTAAACGCAAAGACAAGACACATATAACGGATAAACATAGCGCTATTTATATCTTTCCGTGCAAAAACTGTCCGGATAAGTACATTGGACAAACTTCTAAAAAGATTCAGACAAGACTAACAGAACACCAGAACGCAATCAACAGTCAGGACCATAGCTCACTTCCAGCTAAACACACGGACGACAACGGACACAAATTCGACTGGTCTCAAACGAGATGCCTAGGACAAGCAACTACTAAACATGCCCGTGAGTTTAAAGAAGCGTGGCATAGTTTAGACAAACAAACATTTAACCGTCACATTGACATCCCTACAATTTACTTACAACTGAAACGCTCTCACAAATCTCCTAATTCATCTTCATTAACCTTTAACCCACCCTCAACTTCCTTCCCTACACCGTCTCATGATAACAATAATCACCCGCATTCGATAGTAACTAATGGCAACCAACATATTGAAATCCATCAACCAATCAGACGTTCCCACAGACTTCAACAACGTCAACAACAGCGCGAAAATTCAAATGATCAATCTTTCTGATGAAGGCTCGAAGTACCGAGTCGAAAGCTCAAAACAAATAATTACAATCCGGAGAACACTGTATAATTTTGTAAAAAATTATAATTTAATATATATATATATATATATATATATATATATATATATATATATATATATATATATATATATATATATATATATATATATATATTAATGGCAGAGTATCCGAGTTTGGAGGTAGGTGCCGTTGGTGGCCAAGGCTAGTTGGCAATCTAGCCTTGTCGGGCAAATAACCGCAATGGCAAACATTAGGTAAAACACTGGCAAACATTTATGGCAAAATGGCAAAACTGGCAAACAGCAATGGCAAACAGCTATGGCAAAACAGCAAAAAACGTAATAATAAGGCTAATTATAGTAGCAATGGGAGTTTGCCATAACAATTCTGCCAACGCAGACCTCCGGCACCTGTCACACTGATGATCAGTGGAAAAAAGGACGCATTCTATAGTAGTCTTTCGATTGTATTCTATAAAGAAATCAAATAAAAAAACTCAAAACAACCAAAACAAAACAACAAAAAACACAAAACTAAAACAAAAATAAAGAAATTAACCCGAGTATCAACAAACATTAACCAGGGTGGGAAAAGGGCGAAGGGGAACAGAGCGAAAGAGCAGTTGTAGCTGGCTAGCCAAGCTGTAGCAAAGTGACGGATGCGCGATAATTGCAACTGTTCTAAGTGACGTCAGGGGCTCGCCGCTGCTAGATACATCTGCCGTTAACTTCGCTTAAATCTACGTTTAACCACACTTAACGGCAGAGTATCCGAGTTTGGAGGTAGGTGCCGTTGGCGGCCAAGGCTAGTCGGCGATCTAGCCTTGTCGGGCAAATGACCGCAATAGCAAACATTAATTATTATTATTATTATTATTAAAATTTATGGTTTCTCCCAAAAGGGTTTTTCAGAACCCATTTACAAAATTATTTTATAAAACTACAATTTTAAAATATTTACAGTTTCTACAAAGTTAGGAATAAAAATGACTGATATCTAAGTTTTTAATAGTCTAAAATAGGAAGTAGTCTATAGTCTAAGTAGACAGTAAGTGTTCTTTAAGTTGACTTTTAAATGTCTTAAGTGATGTACATTTCTTTAGCTCAGTGGCTAAGTTATTCCAAATTGAAGCTCCTCTAAAAGCAAATGACCGTTGCCCTGACGCTGTTTTAAACAATGGTATCTGTATTGAGTTGCAGTTCCGCGTAGACCGATTATGAATACAAGATCGTTTCTCAAACATGTCACAAAGATATTTCGGCGCTAAGTTGTTCATGCATTTAAAAGTCATTACGGCATCACGGAAATAGAGTAATTTGTCAACTGTAAGCCACTCAAGATTTTGGAGTAATGGGCTTACATGATCGTATTTCTTGGATCCTGTGATTATTTTACATGCAAAGTTTTGAATAGATTGAAGTTTCTTTATATTAGTGCATGTTGTATTTGACCATACAGTGGAACAGTAGAGCAGTTTACTGATCACTAATGAAGTGATTATCATTGTAAGTGTTCCCTTGTCAAAATTATTTTTAACTCTGTTTATCTGGCACAGTTTATAAAGGCAGGACGACACTAGATTCGATATGTGCTTATCGTAACTTAGGTGACTGTCCATTAGAAGTCCTAGATCTTTGGCAAAATCAACAGGTTCTAGAATCTTCCCCATAGAACAAAACACTGGCAAACACTGGCAAACATTTATGACATACTGGCAAATGGCAAAACTGGCAAGCAGCAATGGCAAACAGCTATGGCAAAACAGCAAAAGACGTAATAATAAGTCTAATTATAAGACGTGACGTGACGCCAGCACAGGCGGCCGTGCGCCGCCTTGCTCTGTAAAATTATATGATTTTGTCATTGCTTCTTTGGATTTGTAAAAAAAATATATAACGAATTGGTAGATAAAGTCGACGTCTTGGAAAATCTGTGGTATTTTTCAAATTATCTTGGTCATTTATTGAGTAATTGGTGGATTTGTGCTCATTTTTGTACCGAATCTGACATTTCTCGTTGCCTTTTCCGCTCGCGCAAGCTAAGCGGACGGTTAACCTCACGAGTGCAAACGATCACGCCAACACGCGCGCTTAATTAAGCGCGCGCTAATTAATAAGAACAAAATTAATACAATTCCTAATCCTATTAGAAATGATATTCCCAAAATTCATCTACGTTATTGTTTTTCTGTGGTTGGTTGTACGTGGAATGAAAAATACGAAAGAAACCAAGATTAATTTGTTCTATGCCTCAACGAAAACGCTTGGACCACAGTATTCTTATCGACTTCGTCGTGTTAAGAGACATGTAACTTTGCTCTCGGTTCATCGTTTTATGCACGAACTGTTATTGTTACAGAGATCGTCTTTGCCTTTGCTGTTAATTCTTTTAGCTAACGATGTGGAATTAAATCCTGGTCCAGTTATTTCATCTGAGCATCTCGAACACTGTTCATCCGTCGTAAATAATCGAAGCACCATCGCGACTGAACGTAAGACATTTCGCTGTTTGAGCTGGAATACGCGAAGTTTGTTTAGTTTACATAGAACATCTGATGGAGACATGATATCAAATAATTCAAGTCTTCAAGATTTTGTATACTCGGAGCAAATAGACATCGTTTTCCTCACTGAAACGTGGCTGTCTGATAAACACTTTGATGCAGAAGTTTTACGTCAAGATTATAACGTTTTCCGTGTCGACCGTAAATGTAAAACCGGCGGTGGCGTACTAATAGCTACAAAAGAGTCTTCTTTTACAGAAACCAAGCAAGTATGCTTTAAAGTGCCCGTAACCCCAAAATTGATTTTCGGCTTATTAAAAGTATGCTATGAGTGTAGTAGTTTCGCGAAAAAATTTTTGCTTTTGGTTAAAAAGCAAAAATTTTAGAGCCACTTGAACCTGCTTATATTGCGATTTTCTTGGCACATGG